AGCAGATAGAGCTTTTCCATACCATTCCCACAACCTACACTCCTCTGACCCAATTCCACAGATAACACCCTTCAAATCCCAATCAATCCCAATATATTCCGTCCTGCTTATTAAAATATAGGATCAGAAGTGGGAAGTGCAGAATGGGGGAAGGGGTAATACCCCAAGCACAGACACAGACGGTTTGTTGCTTCTATTCCCAGGATAATTAATCACCATATTCAATTACATTAGCGTGCTTCTAATCAGCTGCTGCTGGGCTGATGTGCAGGAATGAGAGGAAAAGGCAAGGAAGACGAAAGAAGAGAAGCAGGGATAGCTTAGTTGAGGAGGAGGAGAAAGAGCGCTGCAGAGTATGGAGAAGTGCTTACGCTGCACCGTGGAGGCGGAAGATCTCGGAAGAGCATCAAAGGCACGTTGCATAATTAGCATTTAAATTTGATTAAAATTCAGTTGCAGTCACCACACATGGGTGGTTCACGTGGCATCACATGCTTTTTTGTCCAGAGGGTCATAACCATTTAAAATGTAGTAACTTGAAATATATGTTTATATTGTGAATGCAATCCATTTGTATACATATACTCTGTTTTCACTTGAGTAAAACAGACTTATGCCAAGCGCAAAGAGAACTAGTACAGGAAATGAATTAAAGGCATCTTTGGGGAAAGAATGAAACAGTAAATAGACTGGAACTACTCATATTGCCATATTAGTGAAAATGACTTAAAATAGTATGGATGCTTATAATTGTATGTGCTTATGTACTTTATTATAATGAGAAATATTTAATATGGTGTGACAAACTTGGTGTCATTCATAAATAATAAAATATATTTACAATAAAAATGCTTAAAATTGTAATTGACTGAAGTGAAAACATTTTTTTATTTTATATATATTTGACCAGTAGACTCTGTCACACATGACATCTTCAATCGTTAGCACAGAAAATGACAAAATTAGGTTAAAATACAAACTACACAAGTAGCAATGTATTTTCTAAGTAGCCAACAGTATAACCAACATGATTTTCATATCTTGTTTCCTAAGATTTTTCCATTTCATGTTTCATCAATTCATGGTTACATGTCAACCACCCACACAGAAAAAATAAGATGGCAGAACAGCCTGCATTTACAAAAGGAAAATGAAAACTAGATTTCATTCTAAACTGTGTCTGAAAACACAAACCCTCAGAGCAATCTAAGAAAATCATTTGAAATGTTGTTACAAGCAATTATTAAACAATTCTTTGCTTATTTTGAACAGATTGATCATACAATCCCCTGGACTCAACAGTCAAATGTATCTCAAAGCTAAGACTGTACAATGTTAAATGTAAGTGATATATAGTCAATTATATAAGGAATCAAACATAGCCAGCTCTATATTAACATCAACAGACACAAGGGAGACGATTTCATACACCCACCTTCAACAACCCACCACCATCCAGAGCTAGCAGTCTACTTCATCCACTCCTTACATGAACATCTGTATTTCTGTCCAAATAATACAGTAACAAAAAAGAAAACGAAATTCTGCCACACTTCCAGCTTGAGTGATCTTAAATAGTATGTACAAGTGGACAAACATGGATAAGAAGGTTTGTTTTGAAGTTTTTGTTGCATATTCACATATATTTGTTATATAACCTGGCTGGTAGGCTGATCAATCTTGACTTTGAAAAAGTGCCATCGTTTTAATCTTTAAAAACATCTGTTTTAGAAAAAAAAAGCAAAATAGATCACTTAATTAATAATATTCATCTTCGAAGCACTGCTTATGTTTTCCATCTCTTAAATTTCTCATTGCGTTCAGCAGGGGGCAGATCTGTGTAGTATTTTTTTTATTATAAAATTTTCTCTATTGGAATTTTTAAAAAGTAGAAATAGTTAAATGTTAAAGTGTTTTAAGTGTAATCCGTGGTGCTTCATGGGCAGAGCTCAGCACTCTTGGATTCTTTGATTGGTGGAATTGTCTGCACAGCATTATGGGTAATGTAGTTTTCACCATGAATTTTACTGTTAAATTATTTTAAAAACAAAATTTATTTGAAATAATGCAAACAGATGGCTTCAACAAAAGCATATTGATTAACAACCTCGTAGCTCACAGTAGGTCTGTCTTTAAAGGTTTATAAGTTATTGTTAAAAATCCATTTCCTTATGGAGAAAATAAAGATTTTTACTTTCAGGACCCAACTGCTGCACTCTATTACAACCAGTATTGCCTTAACAACGACTGTTTAGTAATGTTAGCAAGCATACTACATAACAATCAAACACTTTAAAGCATGAAGTAAATTGAATTGCGTGCCGCTGTATTGAGTAGGAAGTGGGAATACTTTTCTCCAGAGTAATACACTCCCTGAACAGCCCTTGAATCTTTCAATGGTGACAATTTAATTAAGAATGAAGAAGATGGGCCTTAAAGCAATTAAAGTTTTTTTATTTATTTATTTAATAAAAGAAAATGCTTTCTCACAACAAGAAGATCAATCTTTATGTAATAAACCATTTAAAATGAAAACATGATCACTTAAACTTCCAGACACTGATCTACTGATTCCAGAAAGACTACCCTGGGAAAATCTTCAAGAGTCTGATTTATAAACAACTATGGGCTACCAATGAAAAGATTTTAGGTCATTCAGACCAAACGAATAATAAGTGACCCTTCAAGCACCCAAGTTTGAATTTCCATGTATAGGGTCACCTTTATTTAAAATCTATATTTCAGTTCAATCTCCGGCTGAGCTTTGGAAATTCCATGAACAGAAATCAGATGTCATTGCCAATACTGGCTCCAAAACGGAATTGATGAGGCTGTGCCATTCAGCCATGCTCTGCTGAAATGTAGATTACGTAAACATGACGAGATTAAAGGCCTTTGGCACAGCAGCACATCAATATATGAAATTAGCTAATGTTCATTCTCATTTAGAGTACATGCTTGATATCATTTACCAAAAAATAACACCATAGATCATACAATGTGTCCAATATACTTTACTCTCAGTGGTCAAAAAAATATTGTTATCGCAATGAATTAAGAATGAATATATATTATATATAACAAATAATTGTATTATATTATATAGGCTATGCATGCATGTGTGTGTTTGCTATATATTTCAGTGTGGGCATGTACTATATTTTAATACATAATGCACAAAAATATATTCACGCCATAATGAAGCATTATAAAATCGTACTTTTTGAATTCATACATTCCTATGCATCCTAAAGAGGAAGGCGTTCATGAGCATGAATAACTGCCCTTACATTCTGCCCTAGCTGTCCTCATAAAAACGGTGATACATCGATCATACTCCGAGCTGCCAGTTCCTACGGTACGTTTCGCTATTTACAAGCAACTTACCCCATGTTGCCGTTTTTCTCTCCTGAGACGAAAAGCGATTTGTTGATCACAGAGTTTCTTCTTTCTGCTGAATGTAGAGCTTTGGATGCGTTGCGCGCGGTCAGTCACATTATGAGCAGCGGCATTCTGCGTCTCTCTTTACGCGCTCTGTATGTAGGCTGTCAGACGCACTAAATGAATCCCACGGCGAATTACCCACTAATACTGCCCAATTTCAGCTAGTTTGGCACACGATGGGCTCACCTCGCATCTCTGCGATTCGAAAATGCGCCTGAATGGTAATTCTGGAGAGCGCGAGGTAACGGTGAGTAAAGAACCGCTGCCTCGCTCTCAGTGGGCGTGTGGCTCTAAAGATGAATCTACTGTCAGTCGATGGTCATAACACATACCACACAATATCCCACAACAACGCCCCCTGGCACACTCTTCGCCCATTAAAAAACACTTGCCACTTTTTCATCATAGCATTTTACAACGATCATCGTCATAATACACATTCGTAACAATAATTATCTTATCATTGTCACCATTTTATGAAAATGTAAATAAAACTGTTTAACAATGACAATCTCCTCGGTGTAATTAAAACTATCAAAACATCTTATGAGAAATGAAGAATTAACCTTTCATTTCTAACACTTCAACGTTTACTCCAAAATGTAACAAGGGTATTTACACCTTTTAAATTGTGTTTTTATCTAGGGATCTAGATTTGATTTTTTTTTTTTTTTAATTTTACTGAGCTGTTACAGTGGTTTACCACAGTACAACAGCTTGATTGCAAGTGTGATACTGCTTTTCAACTGTCACCCCCATTTTTGAACATAGATAGATGTGAAAGTGCACTATCCAAACTTAAATTGTTATGTAATAGCCTATGATTTGAAGTACCATCTCCATGGTAATGCAATGTCCGATTTTAAAATGGTTTTCACAGGATGTATTTTGAGGTTTTTAGCTCTCAATTGACATATGTATGATGATTTCTAAAACACGATAGGGAAAAAGGCAACGATTTAGATTTAAGTTATGATGTACTATATTTTTGAGGTGCACCCTTGTCATAAATTAATCTATTACTGTTCCTACAAAATTTGTAACAAAAAAAGTGGTAAAATATCTATTTAGGAGTCTTTCCAACGATATATAGTTTGTCATGATTAGATTAGGATTTATTTGTAATATAGTGAAGTAAACTAAGCATCCTTCTGAGGGGACGGGTGACACTTCACTTTATTTTAAGGTGTCCTTATTACAGTGTAATTATACATTTAAGTACTGAGTAATATTAATAAACTGCATGTACTTACTATATGGATTAGGGTTTGTCTTAGGGTTACTAGCAATTCATTATGCATAATTTATATTATAATAGTAAGTGTAACATGTGTAACAAGGACACAGTATAAAATAAAGTGTTATCCAACATTTTCCAAAAAAAGTGGCTGTTTTGTAGCATTCGATCTTCTCAGCCAATAAAAATAGTTCCAAAAGAAGCAAAGCATCAAGCTTTGTTTTTCATCAAGAAACACACAGACTTTAAGCTGGACTGGAAACGCATATTTAAGTGGAGTGGAGCAAGATTTTCCATACCCACAGCATTCTGTACTCACTTATATCCATTTCCCCCCAGTTCTTCACTAGTGAGAGAAACCCACATGCTCCAACTTTCAGGAAACCCACTCCTTGCTCCAGGCAAATTCACTCCACTTCCACTCTGCACATGTTCTGGAACTCTGTGAACATAGTAAAAAAAAATGTCTATGCTACATAACAGCACTGTGACTACTGGTCAAAAATAGGCCCACCACCAAGATGTGAGTTGATACTCTTTACAAAATGAACAAGTTCAACCACTTTAGTTATAAAGCACCTTCTTATAAACTTTAACAAGTAAAAAAGAAAGAAAGAAAGAAAGAAAGAAAGAAAGAAAGAAAGAAAGAAAGAAAGAAAGAAAGGAAGGAAGGTACAGTTGCTTCAAAATGTGAACGTTTGAGAAATATTTTCAAGTAATGTTTACCACAGGCCCATTTTTACTCATAATTTGAAAAAAAACAACTAAATCTATAGGAATGAACAAAAAGTACATATATTCTGTTTTAAATATAAACGATTTCATGAATGCTATGTTTCTAAAGAGCGGCTAATTTTTTCTACCGTAGCATGTCCTGACCATAGCACGGGACTTTTATTTTAAAAGCAGAGGCGCAATAACCCGGAAACAGAGGCTATGGTGTTTTGCTATTTTTCACACGCTTGTGCTCTCTCACTTTCCAAACCTGCCAGCCCCACACAGGTGAGTTCTTTCTTTCGTTGTTACTTAGAACAACCGAAGGCAGTTATTACAGACTGTTTACATTTGGTTGTAAACAGTTATTGTACTGTAAGCTAGTAAACTGATGTTATGTTCTAGCGCTCTTCGGCCAATGAGCTGCATGTTTTGCTTTCATTTGTGATTTCATCATTGATATCAGAATCTCGCATTTGACATTTTAGCATGAAACACTATCAAGGCAGTAGATTTCCAGTATAATGTGTTTGGGTGTTGAGATGTTTTATCATTTGACAATGAACATTTATTGTTTTATTCTGCCTGTTACTTTTTTTAAGTTTTTAAAAGTGAAAATAAAAATCACGGAAATGGTTAGTATAGCATTTAAAAATGATCTGCTTTCAGACTGTTGTCTCCAAACTGACTGTTTTGTTTGTAAAGCTGAAGGCAGTAGATGCTTGTTCTGGCTGAGGAGGAGGATGTTGCCTAGAGGTTACGTCTTTTCCCATAAAGATGGACAATCTGATCATATATTCCAGCACATTCTACCTCACACCGTGTCCCAGCAACGGAGGATTGAAGCCCATCTGAATGTAACAAAGTGAGTGGATATTGTGCTTTTGAAATTGTGCATTATGTTCTGTGAATTCATTTGATTTGTTCATTTCTGTCTCCGTAGCTTCATTGGTCCACTGATGAATGTTCCTCATTTGATTCCAACCTTTCAGTGGACACCAGTAGAACAACCTGATGTTTCTTTCAGTCCAAATGACGTAAAAGGAAGCAACAGAAAGTGAGCAGCACTCTGGCATCTTGAACACGTGACCACAAACCACTAGAATTCGTGTCACTAGTCTGTATTTCAATCAGTGGGGTGTGTTGAGTTCATTGCCTCAAACAAAATGTCATTTACTGTGCCAGGAGAAGGAGAGGTTCATTTCTGTCTCCGTAGCTTCATTGGTCCACTGATGAATGTTCCTCATTTGATTCCAACCTTTCAGTGGACACCAGTAGAACAACCTGATGTTTCTTTCAGTCCAAATGACGTAAAAGGAAGCAACAGAAAGTGAGCAGCACTCTGGCATCTTGAACACATGACCACAAACCACTAGAATTCGTGTCACTAGTCTGTATTTCAATCAGTAGGGTGTGTTGAGTTCATTGCCTCAAACAAAATGTCATTTACTGTGCCAGGAGAAGGAGAGATATCAGTCAGAATGACCTGAAGAGACAGTGCTTCGGTTCTCCAGGACCTCACAACCAGCCTGCAAGAAATGCCATCTTTACCTCCCAACCGGCGACTGGACCAGGGTCAAGCAGAGAAATGTGTCATTCTTATTCCAGCGTCCCCACATGCTCATCTGCCGTCTCTAAGACTGGAGGCTGTGTGCCATCTTTGAGAGAGGGATCCCATCAGAGCTCCTTTCACCCATCATCAGTCAATGATAAGGTCAACACACAAATAAAAGCCAGGATGCTGGCTGACTTGGTCACATGACCTTTATTTGATATACACACAAGTTAATGGCAAAGTGTTTATTTTTCAGTATTATATTTATTATACTTCTGCCCACAGCTGAGTCAGCAGATTCTCAACCTATTTCATGCTTGTGAGCAACAGAATGATGATCTGGAGAAGAAGGAACAATGCCGAGCAGCACTGCAGAGGGACATCCAGACAATCTTACCATGTACATTACACTCATATTTACAGATAGTATGACTGGGATCTTCTCTAGCCATAGTTTAAAAGAATAGTTCAACCAAAAAAGAAAATTTTTGTACTCACCTTCAGGCCATCCAAGAGTTTGTTTCTTCATTGAAACAGATTTAGGAATATTTAGCATTACATCACATTACATTACAGTCCAAACAGCTGATAAAAGCATCACAATAATGCACAAATAATTGACACAAATCCAGTCCATCAATTGACATCTCAGGAAGCACCCATTCACTGCAGAGGATCCATTGCTGAGCGAGTGATGTAATGCTGAGTGATGTAATGCTACATTTCTCCAAATCGGTCCTGATGAAGAAACAAACTCGACTACGTCTTGAATGAGTACATTTTCAGCATTTTTTTTATTTTTGGGTGAGCTAATCTTTTAATTTGCGTTCTTCATGAACTTGTTCTAATATTTCAAACTTTGCTCTATTTTTGTTCAAGGTGCCCAAGTCTTCTTGGCCGGGTCATCTCTAAATGGCTTTGGTAGTCGCAGCAGTGATGCAGATCTTTGTCTTGTCATTGAAGAGGGAAAGGTAGGTGTGTTCTTGAGGAAAGATGCTTTTAGTTCTGTCCAAATAGTTTCTATACTAATTGTTCAGGCTTTGCTGTCTTGGGTATAACACTCTACATACTCCTTTGCAGGTAAACCACAGAACAGATGCTGTATATGTTCTTAGTCTTGTGCGGAAATTGTTTTACACACTGTGTAAGTGATTTGCCATACATACATCATTAAACATGCAGCCGTTTCCCTGTAAACTTCTCTTTGTTTCATCCACTAATGGCATTACTGCTGTTTCACAGCTTACATTGAGAGGCCTCAGCTCATAAGAGCTAAAGTGCCCATTCTGAAATTCAGGGACAGAGTCAGGTAGGTCTTTTCAGTTTTTGTGTTGTATTTGCAGTCAGAAATATATTAATATATTTTCACTACCATCCAATTGTTTTTAAAATAAGTTAACTTTTATTTAGAAAGGATGCATTAAATTGATCAAATGTGACCGTAATGATAAGATTTTTTTAATGATAAGATTTTATAAAAGATTTCCATTTCATTTCTTTTGTACGTTCTATTCATAATATATGTGTTATAATCCAGAAAAAACTGTATTACAGTGTCCATAAAAATAAGCAGCAACTGTTTCAGCATTTAAATAATAAGAAATGTTTGTTGAGTAGCAAATCAGCATATTAAAATGATTAGAATTAAGACTGGAGTAATGGCTGCTGAAAATTCAGTTTTGCCATCATAAGAATAAATTACATTAAATTATATTAAAATGTGAATTATAATAATATTTAACAGTATTAACATTTTTTTTGTGCATATTTTGATCAAATAATGAAAAATATGTAATTTTGATACCTAGGTAAGTATAATTGACTTATTTCTAAAATATATTTTTTTAATCTTACCAAACCCAAACCTTTGAACTATAGTGAACTGTATTTAACCAGCACTGGTGGTGTGAATGTAGCAAGCATGAAAGTCATGAAAGGCAGTATCGTCTGAAAACAAAAGATCAATACATCAGCTAACCAGTTTTTCTGGAATTCTTTTACATGGCAGTGGTGTGGAGTTTGACTTGAACTTTAACAACACTGTTGGTATCAGAAACACCTTCTTACTGCGGACATATGCCTATGGTAAGATCAGAAATGTTCAGAATTGTGTACCAAATTTAAATCTTTCTGAAAATGTTATTTATTAGTTTTTATATTCATTTCAGTTGAAAAACGTGTTCGTCCTATCATCCTTGTCATAAAGAAATGGGCCAGTCATCACCGCATCAATGATGCCAGCCGAGGAACACTGAGCAGCTACACGCTGGTTCTTATGGTCCTGCATTACCTTCAGAGTCAGTCATTTTTCTAACGTTTTGGATTAAGGTCTAACACACTAAACATTTGTAATTAGCAGTGTTTGGACTGAGAGTGCAGTGACTGTGAGTCTTAAAAAATATGCAAGCTTTAAAACTTTCTTGTGCTTTTCTGCTTTTGTTGTTCTAAATGTTTGTTTCAACCTTGTATAGCTCTTCCTGAACCTGTCATTCCATGCCTTCAAATGGATTATCCAGTAAGCAAATTGCCTAATGAATAAATGAAACCTAAAAATATGCTTTTTTTAAAGAATTGACTTCATGCTGCAACCATTTCTTTCAGGAGTGCTTCAACCCTAAGATGGACCTTCATCTTGTGCCAAGTGGACCAAGCAATATTCTGGCTTTTGTGTCTAAAAACCAGTCATCCCTGGGAGACTTGCTCTTGGGTTTCCTGAAGTACTATGCCACTGTTTTCAAGTAAGTAATATTATTGATTTATGGCACAAATCATTGAAATTGTTCAAACATATATTTTAGGCAAAACAAGAAAACATTCTGAAACATTTTTATTCTAGGTCACTTCATTTTGTTATCTCTGAATTGGAAGTGCTATAACACATAACCCTCCTGTTGTGTTTTGATCTTTTTGACCTGCAGAGGTCAAAAGTTCATGCTAGTTAATGTTATCACATTGGACTAAAACCACTAACTTTGCGCAAACAGGGTATAACAACTAAAAAAAAAATTTTTTTCACTGTTACATTTGTGGTGTTCAGTCAAAAATGGCATATATATTTCTTGTTATACTATATATTATTACTAAATCTTGCATTCAATCTTTTTACTAACTTGTTTAGCACAGATTTTGTATTTCTTTTTGGAACTGATTGATCGTAAGACTCCGACTGAGCTTAACAATCTCAGGTTTTGAGTGAACAGGAGGCCTACGACCAGACAGTTCCAAAAAAGAAAAAAACCTACAGTGTTTCCCATGCATTGATTTATTTGTGGCGGCCCACCACAATATCAACATTGACCACATTGACAAATAGATTTTCCTTTTCCCATTAAAATTTTATTTTACTTTTTAAAATTCGGTGTAGAGATGAAATTGTCATGTTGACTGGCTTAGCACATCTCTCTCACATGACAGTGGACGAAAATCTAAAAATATCTAAAACAGTTTCAATACTCAGTTACAGCGTTTCTATCTTTTTATTGGGCTACATCGATTGCTGGGTGCATTCGTCCATATTAGGGATTTCCTGGAACGTTCTATTTCCCTCCGGCTTCCAGTATGAATGATATATACATTACATGAGTGTACTCACTAATGCTCACACCACCCTGT